AAATAACCCACGAGAATGCATGCATCTGCAAAAAAGAGAACAAATTATCTGCAGGCATCTATTGAAACTGAGGAAGAAAGATCCTGAGTGAGCAAGGTATAGTAAATGGAAAACAATTAGACACTTATTGATTCAGTAAATATTTGTTGAGAACTTGCTTTGTGCTAAGCAGTGTTCTAGGCTCTGGGAATAAAGCAGTGAACAAAACTGCTATTTTAAAAAAGAGAATCCCGGGGGCAGCCCAGTGGCATAGTGGTTAGGTTCGTGTGCTCTGCTTCGGCGGCCCAGGGTTCTCAGGTTCAGATCCTGGGCACGGACCTATACACCACTTCTCAAGCCATGCTGTGGCAAGCGTCCCACATATAAAGTAGAGGAAGATGGGCGTGGATGTTAGCCCAGGGCCAATTTTCCTCACCAAAAAAAAAAATAGAGTCCCCACTCCCTTAGAGCTTCCATTGGGAGAGAGAAATAATAGGTAAATATATAATAATCTGTAAATTCCACAAAGAAAAATAAAACAAAGGAAAGAGATAAAGAGTGTGGGGGAAACAGCTGTTTTTGTTAGGATGGTCAGAGGAGGCTGCTCTGATAAGGTGACACTTGAGCAAAGGTCTTAGTGAGGTGACGAGGTGAGCATTGCCCATTATTGCTAGTACTGTTGTACTAAGGGCATTGATACTTTCTTATTGGGGCAGTTCTTTATTTGTTATATTTTAGTGAACATACAAAACACATGTGCAGAATTGCATAGGTTCACTTTTTCCACTACATTTGGTTATAAAAATTTCAGAAATCTGTTGCAATGGACACCCGTATACTCACTACATGATTCTCCCAAGACTGTTTTACCATCCTTGCTTCTTACATATCTACCCGTCTATCCATCCATCTCTCCATCAGAGGTTTAGTTTTAATCTTGATGCCCTTATCCTTTAATCGGTAAATTCTGAAGCTAATCTGTTGTGAATTTCTTTTACCACAGGAGTTTTAGAAACTTAACATTCATGAATAGGAAGAAAGTTTATATTCATTTTTATATCATTATAGGCTTAATTTTATTTCATTTTGCTTTTTACGTGTAATTCCTCAATCCATTTGGAGTTTATTTGGGGTTGTGGTATAAGGCAAGGCTCTTGCCTTGTTTGTTTCTTTTCCAAACAGCTGGTTTCCCCAACGCATTTGTCGAACAACGCGGCCTTTCCTATGGTGGGTGGTCCCTTTCTAAAAACAATGTAAGTTTTTGTATATGCCTGGGTATTTTTCAAGTTGTCTCTTCTGTTCACTTGATATGGCTGTTAATTTATTTTACTAGCACCTCGCTTTTACAATTTGGTGTTATAATACATTTTAATATGTAGTTAGGCAAATCCTCCCCAATTATTCGCTTTTTCAAAATTTTCTTAGCTGTGTTATGTGCTTATTCTTGCAATATTAAAATTATCCATGTCCTAAATATCTGGTTGAAATTTTAATTCATACGTTTATTTCTTGCTTTTTTGAAAGGAATCTTTCCTCATCTGTAAAACAAGGATAATAGCAGCCTTTTGATAGGATTGTTGTATGGATGAAATAACAGCATACATGCGAAGTGTATAACATGGTATATCAACTCAGAGCCTGTTCTGATTTTACAGAGGGCTCCAAGTTTGATCTGGAAGCAAGAAGGAATAGCTCTGGGTTAGTACCAATTCAGAGATCAAGCACATCGGAAGAGATGACCTCTGCCCTTGTTGCAGGATGCTCTAGTGTTGTCACAACTAGGCGTCCCACAGGAATCCTCCACCTGCCTCCCCATTTTTGCAGTGCCCATTCTGCATAGGCGCAGTGGTCTGGGGCTCAGATTGATGTTCATACTCTCAGGGCATGATAGCCTAGAATCTGGCACCAGTTTTTCTTAGCTGTCTGGAAGGATACGGGTCAGGAAACAGTGTATAGGCATGACAACATCAAACGCATCTTCATCAGGGCTTCCTCCAACCACGTAGGCCTAGCTTCCCAGCCCCCAAAGGACGCACTCCACCAGTAGTGGTGAGACCAAGTGGGTGGATGTGGACCACCCCAGCATGGGAAGCTCAACACAGGAACTGTATCTTATAACTCCCATGAGCATGGCTTCCAAGCCCCCACATCCTTGGGGATAAGAGGTAACACATAGGAGCGCAAGTTTGCTGGAAGTGTTTTAAATAGTCTTGGGTAAGAAAACCCTCAGGGCCTACCTGCCTGCTCACATCTCTCAGGCCAGGCACAGCTCACCTCTCAGGGGTGACTTCACAATAACTGGGCACAGCTGACATTTCACCTTCATCTGACACTGTACGTTTCAAGGAAACAGTATAAGAAGGTAAATCCCAGATCATCTTCCTGTGGAGACAAGGTATAAGCTGTGAGCCCTTTCTCCTCACCACCCCCACCCCCCGCCACTTCCTGGTCCTCTAACTGGCTCTGCAGTCTTCTAGCAGGATTAGTCTTCAGAACCTGTCCACAGGCTGAGGAAACCCTGTGCCCCTCCATTTACCAAGACAACAGGGAGCCTAAGTAGCGTGCCTTCTGTGTTGTCTCCTGCATGGCTCCACGGTCACCTCCCCAAGCTGGGGTGGATGTTCATCATCACCTGCTAGGGTCCACTCCTGCTGGTCTGGCCATATTATTTTCACTCGGGAAAGGGAAGGGTTTGGGGCTGTCACCGGTTGTCCTCCATGTTCCCTCATAAGCACTGTTTTCAGCAGAAATCTGAAGGAATTTCTGCTCAGTTTCTTCCTGATCTGATCCTTCCCTCACCTGAACCTAAAACTCTCTTTCTCTGCACGCGCACCTGCCACACACCTCGGGTGCACACCCGTGCTGCTGTGTGTGTGCCTAGACCACCTCTTCGAGTTGTGAATGCAGTCTCCTTCTCCTCTTTCCAGTCGTGGCATCTCAGTGGGGCCACCCCCATGTTCGAGTGCTCACTGTTCTCTCGATGCCCCTCCTTTTGTGAGAACCCCCAATGTTCAACATGACTGACCATTCCTTCCCCAGGGCCTGGTCCAGAGTCGGCTTCCACGAAACGTTGGATGACTAGGGTTTAAGAAGTAGCAGATGGCACAGTCAGTACCCTCAGATGATGTCAGCCAAAGCGCTTATTTCTGCACCTTGGTTCAGCACAAGTGAATGTCAGCAGCAGTGTATCTATAGCCCAATCCTTTTACACAAAAAATTCTTACCTGCAAAAAGTACATTTTTTTGGAGGTGGAGAAAATGGAAAATCCTATAATTATTTTTCCCTGAGAAACAGGGCTCCTGGTTTCTCTCTCCGATATGTCGGCACCTGATCTCAGGAGAGGATTATCTCTAATGTGGAAAACCCTGATGAGCAGTGAGCAATGGGAGAATACTTAACGAATCAAAAACAAAAGAGGGTCCTGCTTATTTTTTTATTTGTTCTATCTGTTTTCTTAGGTTCCCAGGATGGAGTGCTAGAAGTAGAATTAGCTTTGAAATGAACGACACTGCTGGAATTTTTAGGGGAACAGTACAGTTCCCCTCTCATCTCACTGATCCTCGATGGCTACTTGCTACAGTCTCTGTGTCTGTTTTCTCTGTGGGTGCCTTAGAATGAGAGAGTGTAACAGTTAGTCACTCACATTTGTCAAGCATCTGCTACTTTCCAGGTGCTGCGCTAAGCACTGTACATCATGTCTTGACTCACTTAAGCATCATAATGCCCATTGTAGGAAGGTACTGTTGTTATCCCATTCTACGGTTGAGGAAACCAAGGTACGAAGAGCTTAATTAACTGTCTCAAGGTCACACAGCCAGTAAGCAGCAGAGCCTGAGTTTGAACTCAGTCTGCTCCAAAGTCCATGTTCTTACTCACCACACAATACTATCTCTTATAAATTTATTGTCTGTTTTTTTTCATAACAGTTATTAATGTTTTAATGCCCTACAGGGGATCTGTTTGCAAATCCAAATAAAGAAGGAACTGTTTATCTTCATGTATACTCTGTTAAGCTTCTTAATGTCAATCAATCCCTTCCATTATTTCTTTTTTATTAAATTATTGATCTGGCTTTTAAGGGGGGCAAAGGTACGTTTGGATTGGATTGATTTCTTCTGTGACCTTAGAACAAATTCAAACATTTCATCAAGAAGCATCATTCGGGCCGGCCCTGTGGCTTGGTGGTTAAGTGCGCGCGCTGCGATGCTGGTGGCCCGGGTTTGGATCCCGGGTGCGCATCGAGGCACCACTTCTCCGTCCATCCTGAGGCCGAGTCCCACATACAGCAACTAGAAGGATGTGCAGCTATGACATACAACTATCTGCTGGGGCTTTGGGGGGAAAAAATAAAATAAAATAAAATCTTTAAGAAGCATCATTCTCTTAATGTTTTAGTTTCCATAGTAAGTAGACTTTCAGGGCTTGCCTGCCTGTTTTATCGTAGCGGATGATGAAGCTGATGCTTTCACCTGAAAAGCCCCAGCTCTGGTGCTCATTTTCAGCTATCAAGAGTTGAGCCATATCCAGGTTGTTCTGACTTTCCTGGTCTCAGTCTCCTTCCATCTGCATTCCCGCTGGCCCCTTATGTTCGCTGGCACACGGGGAAAGAAGTGAGGTGGGAACAGTTGGGGTTTCTTTTGTCCTTTCTAATCAGTGTGCTGAATTCACTTCCCTGAATTTATTAAGAGTTATTTCCAGTGTCAAATCTTTCGTCGTAGAGTCTAGTCCATAGGTAGGAGATATCATCTAGCCCCAAGCCTTCCTTTTTTTTTTTTTCCCCAATTAAGTATTTGGGATGGTGGCTTCCCATTAGGACTGACTTATACTGAAAAATGATCCAATACTTTTTGTTTCTGCTTATTTCAGAGATTTGATTTCATAGTATCTCTTATTTTTTTCTTCATTTTTCACATGTAATTCCATTTCAGAGTATCTTGTATTATACTTGTTTTTGCTAAGTATACCATCACTGTAACTTCATTCTCTGGTTGTTTTAACAGCAAGTTTTATCTGCCTACAGGAGAATATTAAAAAGTGAGCCTCCGTATCCCCCAAAAATGAGTGCTTTAGCCAAAGACCTAATTCAGCGTCTTTTGATGAAAGATCCCAAGAAAAGATTGGGATGTGGTCCACGTGATGCAGATGAAATCAAAGAACATCTCTTTTTTCAGGTGAAATTTATTGAACAGATGGTTTTATATACCCTGCTGTTTTCAGGGTGCTTGGCGTTTTTGGTGAAATGAGTGAACCTGATCTCTTTTGGGGTCATATTTTCACTATTTTCGTGTACATTGCTTAGTTTATATACTTTTTTTTAAATGACAATGATCCTTTGGGAAGGATTAGAATTCTACTTGTAGAGACCTAACTGGTCTTTTTCTCCCTTAATGAAGTGGGAGTGGGGAGGACCATAGTGGCATTCAATTTTCTACATACTCTTTGATTAGAGTTTCTGAGTAGTGGTTTCCATTTATGATCTCAAGATTCAGGCATGTGGACTGAGGAGACTTTTACTTATACTTTTTACTTCTCTCTCAGTTCATGAACTGTTACTGCCACTGTGTTACACCTTTTAGATGGTAATTTCATCTCTTCTTCTTTTCCCAGGAGAAATCTTAGAAAATTCAAAATGTACCTATTTCTCAGTTACATAGCTATAATATATAGAGAATTATTCATTTATCTTCTTTGTACCTGAGACAGTGCTTTTCTTATTCTGAAAAAGCCTAATGAGACCATTCCACAGAGCACCAACACATCTGCTCAACTTAGTTGGCTTAATTTATTCCAAAAAATACCAAAATTTTAGGAACTAGGAAAAAAAAAGTTAAATTGACTAAGTTGGCTTGTTATTTCACTCTAAATGGTCAACCTGGGATACCATGACCTTGATTTCTAAAACTCTGAGCTATGAGTTTTAAATTCTTTCATCGTATCAACAAGCATGACCTAAATATTTATGGTCTAAAGGGACCATCCAAGTTTTATTTTTGTTCTGCAAACTGAGTTTTTACGTTATTATCACCAAACAAATTAAAATAGCATACCAAAACAAAGAAAAAACTCTGCTATAGAGTAAGCTTCTTATTGTTATTTATTGTTTTTTATTTTTATTTTTTTTATGTGAGGAAGACCAACCCTGAGCTAACATCCAATGCCAGTCCTCCTCGTTTTTGCTGAGGAAGACTGGCCCTGGGTTAACATCCGTGCCCATCTTCCTCCACTTTATATGGGACGCCGCCACAGCATGGCTTAACAAGCAGTGCATCGGTGCGCCCCCGGGATCCGAACCAGCGAACCCCAGGCCGCCACAGCAGAACACGCTCACTTAACCACTTACACCACCAGGCCGGCCCCTTTGTTGTTTTTTAAATATACAAAAACAAATAGTGATTAAGAATAAGAATGATCTTTCTATACTTTTATGCTCAAAAACAGCACATTTATTTCACTCTCTCAGTGGAACCATTTTAGATAATATTACTGTACATTTTACAGAAGGTTAGTAACAGTGAGAAATACATTTAGAATAAAATTAATTTCTCATTGTGTGCATTTCCTAGATTAATATGGCTTGGAAAGGTTCATATTTGAACAAACTGTTTCAAATAACGTGTTCAGAAGTTTGGCTCAAAAATTAACAATAAAGTAAAATTCAAGAAAGTATTCAAGCAAAAAACTCCCTATCATGTTTTTGTAGGATCTTTTTCTCCATGGTTCCCTGCTTATGAATATTACAATATGTCTTTCATATTAGAGAAATTTCTCTTTTCTATAGCTTGGAATAGTAATTTTAGATTATTTAATTGCCTTGACTTTTTGAGTGACAGGGACACTTGAAGAAAGACCAGCATTCTAGTTGTAACGAACTAAATGGAGTGGAGGTGGAGAGGATCATAATAGCATTCAATGTTCTACATCTAAACGTTCTCCTGCTAACAACATATTTCTTTAAATTACCTCTTTACTCTAGAAGTTTTCTTTTAATGTATATACAATAGCCAAGCACAAATCATATACTTACAATGGAAAACATCACAGCCACATAGAGTAAAGAATACTAACTAGAAGGTCGAGAGACTGACCCTGCCACTAGCTAATGTTTAAGTGAGAAGGTTCATTCTTATTTCTGGGCTTCAATTTCCAACCAGATCAAATAAGGGAGATGAACTAAATGATCTCTAAAACCCATTCTAGCTGAAAAATTTGAAAATCTGTAATTTTATGATTTTATCTCCATTGCTTCCACAAGAGGGCATAATAAAAACATTTTATGTTAGTTGATCAAACTTACTGAATGTCATCAACCAAGAAGTGCAAGTTTCACGTTTTACTGTCTCTGAAATCAGTATGCATCTTACAATGGACATCTTACTATTCTAATTGGTAATGCTTTTTCTTTCTTAATGGTACATAAAATAATGGTTTATCTTATTATCAATGATTCGAAGAAATGTGTTCATTGGCTATCTGTAGGATTTAATTCAGTAAGTATTATCTGAGATTGTTTTAAGTGACAGAAGGGGCACAAAGAAAACAGAGCAGAGGGTTAAATTTGAATAATATAAAACAGAGCAGTTTATCAAACAGTTAAGTGACTGACATGGTGGAAAGGGAGCTTGGATTATCCCATGGGGAAAAGAAGAGGCAATGTTTAAAATGCTTGAATACAGTTGAATGAGAAAAGAATGGTTACCTCAGTTCATACTATCATAGTATCATTTAGACTTATAGACATTAAAAATGTATAAGTTATAGTGAGTTTATCTTCTGATCTGTCCAGATGACCACGAGGAAAACCAAGTACAAGAGGAGAGCTAGTTAACATTGCCTCTAGAAAATAGGAATATTCCTTTTGAGGTAATATTCATATCCATAGAGCATTTTAAAGCCCTTTGTTACAGGGGAGCTTAGTTTTCATTTTGTTTTGTTTTGGCCTAAAACTTTTCTCAGGAGTCTCATGACAAAAGTAATTTTTCTCTTGTCCCTAAGGGTAAACCGGGGTGTCCTGGTGCCCCCAGAGGACCTGGTAAGACCCTACTGGGATGGAAAGTGGTCTCATTTTGAGACACAGCAGTGGCTGGAGCTCTAAGCTGCAGCCAGAAAATGTGCTCATGCTTGTAAAAAATATATATTTTTTTAATCATTGGTTTGAAATATGTGCCTCTCTCCTCATTGATCAATTAAAATCATAGTCTACCTTTGTTATTCTTAGAAAATGTTTCAACTTTATTTCTACTTTGTACCAATTTTCTTTGTCTGTTTTAGAAAATAAATTGGGATGATTTAGCTGCCAAAAAAGTGCCCGCACCATTCAAGCCAGTCATCCGAGATGAATTAGATGTGAGTAACTTTGCAGAAGAGTTCACAGAAATGGATCCCACCTACTCTCCCGCAGCACTGCCCCAGAGCTCCGAGAGGCTGTTCCAGGTAATCTCCAAGAGTGTGCACTTGTACGTCAGCCATATGTGCTTTGAAAGAAAAGATTAATTTTCCCATATGAAAGTATTTTTTGGCATCTAAAAAACAGAATTCTCTAATCTCGTCAAAATTATTAAATACAGAGATATTGCAAATTGTTAACTGAAGCTTATGGTTTGTTAAATAGCAGATATTGTTTATGTGTTTATTTATTTATTTTGTTTGCTGAGGAAGATTCACCCTGAGCTAACATCTGTTGCCAATCTTCCTCCTTTTTTTTTTTTTCTTGTTGAGGAAGGTTAGCCCAGAGCTAACATCTGTGCCAGTCTTCCTCTATTTTGTATGTGGGTCACCGCCACAGCATGGCTGACAAGTGGTGTAGGTCCGCGCCGGGAACCGAACCCGTGAACCTAGGCTGCTGAATCAGAGCACACCGAACTCAACTATTACAACACGAGGCCGGCCCCATTTATGTATTTATTTTTGATATAAAGAAGTGTTGAGTTTATACCTGAAATTTTATTTCTGTTCAGCCTCTTTTACAGAAAATATAGTACTACTTTATTTTACCTCTATTCATATAAAATGTTCTTTAATTCTTAAACAGTGTTATCTAATTTTTATCTTCAGTGAATAATCTTAACTGCTTTCCAACTCATAAAGATTCCGAAAGGAGGGCCCGGCCCCATGGCTTAGCGGTTAAGTGCGCATGCTCCGCTACTGGCGGCCCGGGTTCGGACCCCGGGCACGCACCGACGTACTGCTTCTCCGGCCATGCTGAGGCCGCGTCCCACATACAGCAACTAGAAGGGTGTGCAACTATGACATACAACTATCTACTGGGGCTTTGGGGGAAAAAAAGGAGGAGGATTGGCAATAGATGTTAGCTCAGAGTCGGTCTCCCTCAGCAAAAAGAGGAGGATTAGCGTGGATGTTAGCTCAGGGCTGATCTTCCTCACACAAAAAAAAAAAGATTCAGAAAGGATTTTATATTTAGAAAAGGATCTTTCTCAGACTTAAGATAGAATATTCTGACTATTAAATAGCATCATAGCTTCACTTCTTTGACTCCCATAAGTAGACTTAGTATGGTTTAATCTGACCATCCAGACTGTCTGTCTGAACATTAGTGACACTAATGGCTAACACTTGGCTGGACACATAGTGGATGTTTAGGAAATAGTCATTGAACTAGTGAATGTTCTAGCTTGAACAGATTACTCATCCATCATTATACCACCTTTGGTTCAGCACATCATTCTGCCATTTCACTTGATTCTTTTTCTAAACTCAATTTTAAATTTGATTAGTCTAAGGAAATATAAGAGTCAAGCTGAATTAGACAATAACTGTAATGAAACTTGCTGTTTTTCTAGCTTGAAAAACAGTAGCACTTGGACCACTTTGTTTAATACCTTAACTCTACCTTTTTTGAGAAGTTAGTTATGTTTAAAAGTGAACTTTTATCAGGAATGCAAAAGCATCATAGCTATGAGTCAGATATTGGGGGGGGTGGAATAGGGAGGAAGTGTTTCTCTGTCTTTAATTTTGAATTGGTTTAATTCTGCCAGAAGATGGCATTATCTCCTTCTGAAAAGCATTTTTATATTGATTTGAAATAATTTTGCATTTTGAATAACAAATAAAATTAGATTCATCTTAAATATTTGTGTTTTTCATTCTTTTTTCTTGATTTAAGAGAAAAATTATTACAATCTAGTTTGTGCTAAATTGGAAAATTGCAAATTCTGATTCTTTCTCTTCCCTTTTCTTATTTAGGGCTATTCCTTTGTTGCTCCCTCCATTCTGTTCAAGCGTAATGCGGCCGTCATAGATCCTCTTCAGTTTCACATGGGAGTTGAACGTCCTGGAGCTACAAATGTTGCTAGGAGTGCGATGATGAAGGTATATAGATGTGGCTAGTTAAATGACATAGTTAGGGTTTAAATACCAATACTAATTGACTTTCTCAATTCCGGTATATTTAATAGACTACTATTTGACTTAAATGTAATTTTAAACATGAATTAATGGAAATAGCAATATTTGCCCTAGAGAATTATTAACATCAATTTGAATGAGCTTCTTTTTACAATGATAGAAAATTATATGAAATATAGAAGAAAATAGAAATGAGCTAAAGTAAGATGAATTTTCAAAGATTATAAACGTATTCCATTCATATTTGTTAATATGAATAATTTTCTGTTACTCTACAATTTTATTTATCCCTGTGTATTACTAATATTTTCTTAAGTTAAATGATGTTGGTTTCTTATCAGGACTCTCCGTTCTATCAACACTATGACCTAGATCTGAAGGACAAACCATTGGGAGAAGGAAGTTTTTCAATTTGTCGAAAGTGCATACACAAAAAAAGTAACCAGGCATTTGCAGTCAAAATAATCAGCAAAAGGTATGGCCATTGTTGGCAGTCTCTCTTATGTGTTCGTCCTAGTCAATGGGTTTGAGAGCCAGGTAGTTGTTTTGCTAACTGATTATTAATTACCTCCATGATTGTATATTCTTATTACTAAATGGTCAGACAAGTAGGGCATCCATTTCTTCCTATGATGAGCTCTTTTCTGACTCAGAAATAATCATTTTCTCGAGAATAATACATACTTGCTCTGGTGGGTAGTATGACTCATTACTTTTATGGAAGCCTTACTCTGATTTTTTGACACTTATATTCTGAATACACTGTAAATAAAAACAAAATTAGGGTTCGGGCAATACTGACATAAAAACATGGTGAAGAGATACATAGAAGCTAATTGCTTCATCTTGCAGGTTGGAAGCCAATACTCAGAAAGAAATAACAGCTCTGAAACTCTGTGAAGGACATCCCAATATTGTGAAATTGCATGAAGTTTTTCATGATCAGGTATTCCACATTTTTTTCTGCGCATACTAATTCACATACAAGGCTCTAGTTTTCACCAGTTTTGTTGGTGCTGCTGCGTCAGAGTCAGGGATATGGGACATCACCAACCACTACAGAGGGCAGAGAAACCGCTGCACACACTTACCCACTTACCGCTTACCCACTCCAAAATGGATGTGTCCTTTCACTTCTACTTTTCTTACTCAGCAGTAGTCACATATGACATGGAAGGAGGACAGAGGGCAGGGGCCCAATAGCACTGCCCCCAGCTGCGTTGTGCTTATTGCCAGTTCAGCTGCTACCCACCATAGCTTAATCACCACATACCTCTCAGTACTCAGTGATTCTCAACTTCAACTTTCCTTTTATTTCTGGAGTAGAACTTAGAGAGCCTGAAGCCTAATTAGTGCAAGCTAAAGAACAAGTAGGAAGCAGAAGGGCAAAGATACTCTCCTTTCATCTTCTTAGTCCGGGTGGCAAATTCTGCTCAGACCACAGACCAGGTCATGCTGCCCGCTTCTTCTGCTCCCAGTCCAACGGGAACCTAACACAGAGGCATGTGACTTTGGATATGGGAGAAACACCATTGTGTCAGGTCTATATCTTCTCTCCAGCCCCTCCACTGCCACCATCCATGACAGAAATTACTCCATTACAGTTGTCTTTCCCCCTGGGACTGGGTGGGATGACACAGTCCTACCCAAGACAATATCCTAGGCACCAGAGCTAAAACCAATCCTGGATGTGGTGTGCCCTAACTTTAGCAAAGAAGAAACAGAGATCCAGAAGGGTCATGAGACTTGTCCATGGTCACATAGCAAGTCAGTGAAAATCTAGTAGGGAAAACCTGGTCCCCACTTCTGGGCTGTCTCCATAGAGCTGCTGTAAGATCCACGTCCTAGGATAGCTGTGGCCCAGTTCTCTACCACATTGAAATTTCCCCAAATGATACATGATGGTGAAACCAGGCAGCAGCAGCAGTAGCATCATAACTATAGTAACTGCTGCCATTTGTTATTGCCTACATTCTGTGACCCAGGTGCTGTGCCAGACACTCTACGTGTATTATCTTATTCAATCTGTATAGTAACTCCATGAGGTGAGAAAACTGAAACTCACAGAAGTTACGTAAAGGGTCTCACGGTTCGTAAGTGGTAACGCTGGCGTCTGAACCGATGCGGTCCAACTTCAGAACAACCTTTAGTTACTTTGCTCTCCTGCCTTAAGGGAGGCAAAAGCAGCCGGTTTTCACATCGGGTGAGTGAGCACCCAAAAATGACATCATCATCTACTTGCTCTTTGATTCTTAGTCAGAAAAGGAGCATCTTTGAAGCGAGGACTCAGGGAGAACTGCTGTCCCTGCTCCTCTGCTGCCTCCACCTCATCGGGCTACTCAGCTGTAGTGGAGGTAGTGAGTGCCCTGTCCACTGGAGGTGCTTAAGAAGAGCCTGGACGGTCTCCTGTTGAAGGTGATTCACTTATCAATCAAGGGATTGGTGGATGGCCTTGGTCACTCCCCTCTCTGGGTCTGCAGCTGTGCCCCTAGGTACATCCTGGCAAAGACATTCGATCTCTGACCTCTGGGCTGATGTTGGATCTCAGGAACTGCATCCCTAATTTTTTATTTATGTCACAAGTTAAATTTATTATTTGCTGTGTTTGTGTTCAAGAGTTACTAGATATACTAGAATATAAATTGTCTCATGATAAATATATTTTCATTATAATATTCAGTTGTTGATACCTTGGGTTGTTTTTTCCATGATGATGACACAGTTGCCTAGATCATCCCCAAATCCACATAGTCTTCAACTAATGTGTGAAATTAATTGAGAGTCGGTCTTCAGCATTGGACTCTGCAGCAGTGTAGTTCATTTTGTGCTTTACTGCTCTATTAGTTTCGTATTTCTGGGGTAACGAATTACCATAAGCCTAAAACAATACAAATTTATCATCTTACAGTCTCAAGACCAAAAATTCAAAATCAGCCTCACTGGTGTAAAGTCAAGGTATCAGCAGGGCTGGTTCCCTTCTGGAGGCTCTAAGGGACAGTCCGTTTGCTTGCCCTTTTTTAGCTTCTGGAGACTGCCCACCTTCCTGGCTTGTGACCCTTTCATACATCACTCCAATCTCTTGTTTCCGTAGTCCCATCTCATACTGTTGACTCTGTGCATAATTCAGATGCTCTTCCTATCTCAAGATCCTTAATCACATCTGCAAAGTCCCTTTACCATGTAAGGTAACATCCACAGGATCTGGGGATTAGGATATGGACATCTTCAGAGGGCCATTCCTCAAACTACCATACATACATTTTCTCTCTGTTATTTACATTTTATTGGTAAGGGTCCTAAAGTACATAGAGGTAAAGTAACATCCCCCAGGTCATAAGTAAGTAGCATTCAGCATAAGTGGCATTCAGATCCAGGTTTGACTCTAAAACCTGTCTTTCAAACCACTATAGGTATTGCCTTCCTTTTTTTTTTTTTTAAATCTTACTGCCATATACTTGTAGCAGATCTTCAACTTTGACCATATTTGTCTGATGTCAAAATTCAGATTAGCTTGATCTCTAGTAGCCTGGGAACAATTCTCTTATTAAAAGGGTTGTTCACTCTTTAGAATTTGCCTATTATGTGCAGGATGATGTATTTGTAATCGTCTTTTTAAGAAGCAATTTTTCTGGATTTTGCTAATTCAAAGGGAAACATACTTCATCTTGTTTGTGGAGTGACAGTGCTGTAACGCGTAGCACCTGAATCCAAGTAGTGACTGGATATCTTTTTCTAAACCGATTGTGTTCATTTGGGAACTGATATAATTCCTTTGCTTTTTGATAGCTCCTGTGGTATTTTCTTTATGGAAATGGATGTAAAACATAGTAAATATATAACTTTTTAAACTATTTAAGATAATACCATTAGGATGAAAAGCAATTATTTTAAAAAAAAACCCACAGTGAGTCATGGATATTTGCCTTGGGTATTAACCGGAACCCTGAAACTAATCTCTTGAGCCCTAACGGGAAGTTTAAAGTGACATCATCAAACGTTGCCTTTTTAAGGTAAATTTGCCATTAAATGAGTGTGTCAGCCCTCCCCTGGGCACTTGCTCATGTCAGTAATCTTCTATATTATTTAAAACAACCAATTTCACATTATTATCAGTACGAGGTCACACTTTACAAAGAAAGGTATGTAAACTTCACTTGATCTTAGCCAAAAGGCCGAGAAGCGATGAGATATGTAAACTTGATAGAGAGGAATTGGAATGGAATTCAAATGAAAGAATTAGTCAAGGAGGAGATATATAAAGATTTCACTGCAGTACTTGAAATTTTCCATTACCAAAATAGAATTCTAAAACAGCCACATTCTCCTTCAACTCTTCCCTCTAAAATACAAGGATCACTGTGGATTATTTTAACGAGAGATTATTTAAATTTGTTGGTGCTGGTTAATAGTCAATAAATGTTTTCCACATTAATAAACTTCTACTCCTCTTCCTTATCATCCTCCACATTATCCTTATTTCTTTCCCAGCTTCACACTTTTCTAGTGATGGAACTTCTGAATGGCGGAGAGCTGTTTGAACGAATTAAGAGAAAGAAACACTTCAGTGAGACCGAAGCCAGCTACATCATGCGGAAGCTGGTCTCAGCTGTAAGCCACATGCACGATGTGGGAGTGGTGCACAGAGACTTGAAACCTGAGGTATCAAATAACGTGTTCTCTCACATTCAATCTAGCATCATTATTAAATATCCCTCAAATACGTATGGGCTTTTTTTGGTTTGTTTTATATTTTTACTTTCAGGGCTTTCTGCTAAATAGATACTTGCAGATATCATGTTTCTTGGATTTTTCTTTATCTATTTCAGTCTCAAATAAATTTGTCTTTTTTTTTTTTTTTTTTTTGCGCCAGCTGATCATCTCAAGGTTATATTTGTAAGTGTGACAGCCCTTTATGGAAGAAATACTTCATGCAATAATTGTGGACTAAAAATAGCAATGGAAATTTTTGTAGCAGAAAATAATATTCCTTCTATATGCATACCATTTTAGAGGGGTTTTTTTGGATGATATATTCGAAAGCTTATTTTTCACATTTGTAATCAAATTGATTAGCTCATGAACAGGAATGTATAGAATTCTGTTCTAAATATTTACACATAAAGAATTGTCTTGGTTTAATTAGTTATGCCATCCTTATATGTACTTTTCTTTGCTCATGTACTGTATTTATAGAACTGTGTAGCAAGGCAGAAGTAGCAGCTTTTTATATATTTCTTCTTTCGAAAGGTTAATAAAGAAGGTTCTAACTCTAGAATGATCTCTTTTAGAATCAAAAATATGAAAATTCCTCCCTTTTAGAAAATTATCAAAATAACAATGAGAATTAAATATCAAAACCCAATAATTTATAAGAGAATAACAATGAATCATCCTTTACCATATGCAAAATTATACATATTTCCTCTCTAAAATAGAATTTCATTTTTAATTACCATGTGATTATAATGCATTTTCAAGTATATTTAAAATAATGATTTATTTGCTGTTTATTTTTTATGTTAGACCACAAAAGAATATTTCCCCAGAAACCACCATTTTTGCCTTTTATTTAAGGATCTTGGATTATTGATAGGAAGAGGATTTTTTTTAGATGAAATTCTATGCATTCAAATATAATTGATTCCTAAAGTATTTAAACTTCAGTCTGTGTACTTTCTATTACTGTTCTTCATATTACTAGTAATTAATCAAAAGTGAATTGTGTTTTATGAACTTGCAACTATGATAGCTACCCCTCTGCTTCCTTCATCATAGTTCTCACTCTCCTACATAACACCCACTGAAAATATGGCGCTCTGTACATTGGAGATTAGCTGTCTATTTTTAAATGTGAAAGCACACCACTTAAATGTTTTCTTGACAGACAAGGAACAAGCATGTAATTTTTTTAATTGAAAAGATCTGTTCCATGACTGTATAGAATTCATTTTCACGTTTTATTCTTTGATAACTGGCCATCTGTCGTCTCATGAGTCTCAAATGATGCAACCATCCTCTCCAGCAGAATTTAAATTTGCCTTCCTATTTTACTGAAAAAGATACTTATATAGCTTAATTCTTCTTACTTGTTATAAAGCTTTTCTTTCAAATAGTCATTTGAAATGAAGAATGTCAGATTATTTAAGACAGTCTACTACAGTTATAGTCCTAAATCAAAATATATTTTGGAGAAATGAAAATATGCCTTTGTACTAAAATTTTCATAATAAAATAGATTTCACTTTGACTTTTAAATGGGAGAGTAATTATTTCCAAACTGAAAGTTTAATCCCTTTCATGTTGATATGGCATTTTAAGATCTGATTCTATATCTTTTGGTAGATATGTATGTGGCATTCATTTTCTGCCCAGACGAAATCCTAAATTCTAGATGAGAATCAGATAAATTTAGAAGCTGGCTGACATTCTTAGTAGGCTGCTTTGTATTTTTCAAACTGGTCCCCATACTCTTGAAAGATTAAGAAAAATTGTATCAAATTAGTTTCAGGCAGAACTTGAGAGGCGGGTGGAAGGAGTTTGAATGGTTGCTTCTTACCATTCCTAACCATGCACACCTAGCTCCACTTGGAGTGTTGGGAGAGGAGACAAGAGGGGTGTGTGCCACGTCTCCTCCATTTCAAGAACTAAGATTAAGCAAGTCCTTCGCCAGTCTTAATATAGAATGAATTGAAGTCATTTCCAAAGACTTAGGCTCAATGCAGACGGGCCACGTGTGCTTCCCTCTGCTCTCTGTGTAGCACAATGCCTCACGCTGCAGAGGAGCTCAGGAGTCATTTGCTTGAAGACTTCTCCCAAGCGCCCATCTGTGAACCCCAGCTGAGACTTCGGTTGTAGTGAACCTTACGTTTAATTATATCCACATTTTAATTCCATCAGAAATTCAGGATGAAGCATTGTATGATAGAAAATTTAAGAAAACTTTTCAGTTAATTTTTTTTTGCTTTTCTTTCCTCCCACTTTATTCATTTTTAACTTTTGAATGGAAGGCTTAGAAGATTTTTCTTCTTTGTTGCAATGAAACCTTCTATGATGTCTTTTATTTCAGTTAGAATAATATTAACAAAGCAAATGACATTCCAGAGCTGGGTAATAATTTAATGATCATAAAGGCATTTTGTTAGGATGTCTAAAGACAGTATAATCAGATTCATTTACTGTGGGTACTGGGTTGCTGTACTAATAAAAATGATTTGTGTATCAGTACAGTTAGCATTTATTAAACATGCAATAAATACAAAAGTAATACAGTAAAACCTGTATTACTCAGGTAATATGAGTAATAACCTGATTTATTGATTACTTAATAATTGAGAAACCCTGGCAATGAATGATTCAAAATCACAATGTTTTCTGCATGATTGAGGGATAATACCCATAAGCATCAAAAAATGTTGTAAGTATTAACTGTTTTGGATAAAATATTTGTGAAATGTAATGTATGTCTCCATCGTGTCTTCTTTAATAGGCTACACTAGATATTATATAACTATTTTATTTATGACTTCATTCAATGAACAGATATTTACCAAAGCACCTACTATGTGACTGCACCAGGCTCTGGGGATAGAGTCATAAGTAAGGTGGACACACAGCCCCCGCCCTTATGGATTTGTGGTCTAATGGGGATGAAGACATTTAACATACAATGCAGAGGTGATAGGTGCCAGGAAGGAAAAGTAAATAATGCTAGGAGGAAATATATAAAGGTCTAACTTCAGTTTAGTGGCACGGTTAGTGTGGTCTCTCTAAATGAGGAGTAGATAAGGGAGGTTGGTACAGGAAGTAGAAGACAAAGGCAGTCAGAGGGCAAAGCGGAGACCTTAGAAGGATCTGATGTCTGAAGGGTCTGACAGCAGAAGAGATGTAGTGCAGTCGAAAACCATTTCACATGACATCGTCAAATTGAAGTAATACCAAAAGGTATAAAGCAGAGAGCAACAGTTCACTGACATCCGGCTCCCAGACCCTCTCTCTGTGTCTGAATCCAGTATCAATATGTGGATAGATGATGTTACATAAATGGCATCACCAAGTCCCATGACGTTTTAATGAGACACTAATTTAAGTGTGTTTGTGTCTTGCAGAATTTATTGTTCACTGATGAAAATGACAACTTGGAAATTAAAGTAATTGATTTCGGGTTTGCACGCTTAAAGCCGCCTGATAATCAGCCTCTCAAGACGCCGTGCTTCACCCTTCATTATGCTGCCCCAGAGCTCTTGAATCATAACGGCTACGACGAATCCTGTGACCTCTGGAGCTTGGGCGTCATTTTGGTGAGTTCATTTCAGTAGACCGTTAAACCCAGTCAGTTCTTGGATGTCCTCTGTACCCCTCTCTCTCTTTGCTGTTTTTCTTAAATTCATGAAAAAATTGGCAAATTCGTTTCCTTTCTGTACAGCCACTTAAAGACCTGAAAGAAGACTGTTTCCTTTTCTTAAAACTTACATTGGAGAAAATGTAGGAATTTTTATTTTGGTTTATTTTGAAATGTTTAAGGCAGCTGTGTTTTATGTGTATAAAAGTGTTCTGTATTGTTTCTTTAAAAGAAGCAATAGTATATTTTCAAAAGATGTGCCTATTATGTTAGAGAGGATGTGAAAATAGCAAAGTGATTCATTAATAGAAAATCGTTTAAAAATATTCTGAGATTTTCAGACTAAAAATGTAATTAGAGAATATCATTTAGGATAAATTAACAAATTAATAGTTAAAAAATTATAATTATTTACAGTAACTTATAGTAATCGCGGTAAGCATCCTTTTCACAAAGTGTCCTTGGCTGCCACGATCAGAAACAGAACGTTAAGCTAGAAAAATTGTGGCATGTTTTTTTTCTCAAAATAGCTTTATTTTTTTATGCATGTAATTTGTACTGCCTAATCTTAGAGAGAAATTTTTAGACAATACAGGAAGATATAAGGAACAAAGTGAAATCACTGGTAATCTCATCATACAGAGATGCTGTGGTACAGGCTCTCACGTGCCTTCTAATGCCCCGCCCCCACCGTATCTGTGTGCTTTATATCTTTCTGCAGGTTTTTCTATATGTGTATATATATTTGGGTTTTAACAAATGAGATTATATTATACGTGTAGTTTGAGTCTCCAAAGTTTATTTACTAATGAGCAGTTAGCATTTTCCAGCTTTTCACTAATGATAAACTACACAAATGAATGTTTTTTACATGTGTGCTTGCATTTGTCTCATTATTTTCTTAGAATAGATTCCTAGTTGAAGGGTATACACATCTTTATTTTGACGTATATGCCTAGATTTCCTTCTAGAAGGTTTGCCATACCATGTTTTCGTCAACTGAATGCAAATACATCGGATACTATCAATTTCAATCTTAAATTATTTCCTACTGTTGTTATAATTTGCATGCGTTTCTTTGATGAATATTCAGTCTGAGCATCTTTTATTTGGACGTTTGTAATTTCTCTTTTATGACTTGCTGTTTATGAGTTTTGCCCATTTTCTTATGGGGAAATTTTTCTTATTGATTTTTAAAGCTCTATTAAGGATTTTAGTCTTTTGCCATTAATATTGGAAATGTCTTTTCTGGTTTGTCCTTTGTTTGAAAACTTTGGTTATAATAATGTGGGATTTTAATTGGGTTTTTAGAAGGGTTTAAATAGAGAAGTTTTTTTTTATTTCTATGTAGTAAGATACAATTTTTTCCTTTATGATATCTGGCTTTGATGTCAGATTGTCATCCACCTCTACCCAACCCAGATTATAAAAATATTCTCCTAAAGTTTCCTCCAGAATTATGTTTTATTTTTGTGCTTAAATCTGGACTCCATCTGGGGTTTATTTTGGTGTCAGTTTGTTTTCCCCAGTGACTAGCCAGTTGTCCCTGCAGGATGGTTCTTCTTTTATTTTTAAGCTTTATATGGTTTTCTTCTCAGCAATTTTAAGTCATCATTTATAATTTTCACATTTAAATTACATATTTATAAGATTTTTTTAGTAAAAATAACTTCTGTAGATTTAAGAGTTTTAAGGACTTAAGTTGATTACATTTTCATTAGTAGCACTCTCCTAAAAAATTACTCTAAATTTTTATTTTTAGTAATAATATAAGATTACCCCTTGTAAAAGAGCCCTTACTTTAAATATAGGCCAATTATAACCATCATGCCTTTTAAGGTTTTAAAAGACAGTCTTAGACACACAGACAGGTATTTCAGAGCCTCCAGATGCCATATCTATGGAAATAACTGTGTATAATGGCATGGATAGAAGCTGTGCTTCTCTGCACATGTAGTTGTGAAGTTTTTAAGAGAAACAGAGGACAAAGGACAGGTTAAATGATACCACAGGGGTACAATCATAATATCCAGACTGTGGGAAGTTCTATAGGACAAACAGCCCAGTTTCTTCAGCAAATAAATTATAAGAGAAAATAGCCTGGGAACCTATAGATTGGAAGACACTTAAAAAACAATGTTTGCATCTTACTTGAATTCTGATTCAAGCAAATTCTAATTTAAATTCTATTTGTTACATTCAGATTCTAAATCTAAGTCATACAGAGGTAATTATAATATATGTATATATATAATGTATATAACACAATTGGGGAAATTTGAACATTGAATATTGAATGATACAAAGGAATTACTGCTAATTTTTTTACGTGTGATAATGGTGTTGTGGTTGTAGGTTTTAGAAGTCACTGCCCTTTAGAGATACATAATGAAGTACTTACAGATGAGAAACAAAGGTAACACCTGCATTACACTGTCAAAAAAAAGAATGCTTTGTGACTTTTCCTGATAAATGAATGCCCATCTCCAGAGGATCTAGATACAAAGCCTGAATCATCCGTAGCAAGCACAGAATTTATTTGGAGTCTCCTGATTTGCCTTAGAATCTATGACTCTTTTGCATGTAGCTTGTAATAAACATGAATGTGGATATTTTAATGTGAAAATAATTTATGTTACCCGCCTTGAGTAAAATAAATACTCCAGGGAGATGCATCGTATACTGTCATGTGGCTTTGATTACCACCCAGTCTACCTCATGGATGTGCAGTCCCTGTCTAAAATATACAGGACTTTAATTAAAATAGAGCTTACACAGTATCGTAGTCTGCTCTGGCTATCATAGCAAAATACCACAGACTGGGTGGCTTAAACAACAGAAATTTATTTTCTCACCATTACAGAGGCTGGGAAGTCCAGTATGCCACCAGGGTTGGTGTCTAGTGAAAGCTTTCTCCTTGGGTTGCAAATGGCCCCCTACTCACTGTGTCCTCACACGGCCTTTCCGCGGTGTGTGTGCTTGGAAAGAAAGAATGAGCAAGCTCTCTGGTGCCTCTTCTTGTACAGACACCAATCCTATTGGATCAGGACGCCATCTATATGACCTCATTTAAGCTTAATTCCCTCCATAAAGGCGCTATCTCCAAATACAGTCACAGTGGGGGTTGAGTCTTCCACATATGAATTTTGGGGACACACAAACATTCAGTCCATAATTAGAAAATGTAGGATAGGATTATATGCCTTCTCATGGGTATGTGTGTTATACATAACTCGTGGGGTGGCATATAGTTCCATTTAAAACATATTTCCTCCAAGTATTTTATTTTGGAAACCTTATTTTTTTACTTTTCTCTGAAAATTTTATTTTGAAAATTTTCAGACCTACAGAAAATTTGAGAAAATTTTGCCACATTTGCTTTTCTAATTCCCTCGTGTGCATGCACATTTACATACTCTCTCTCTCCACATGTGTTTATATGTGTGTATACATATATACATGTATACATATATACACACATACATAATACATATATATGGGCACACATATATGTATATAGATATATATCTGTATGTATGTAGATACTTTTTTGCCACACCATTTGCAGACACAAAATTATTCTTAACAGAAGTCGACTGCTGGATAATCAGCTAAAATTGTAAGATCTTGGAGTCGAAATGAGCCTAAAGTTTGTTTAATTCTACCTCTTCCAGAGAAGGGATCTTTTCTACAAAGTTTTCTACAAGGATGAAGAATTAGTTTTTCCACCCAACAGCGTCTTGCATTCTTACACATCAGAAAGCAAGAAAAGTGTATTTGTAAAGGTTACTTTCTTGTATTTAGCCACACTCATATCTGTCAGGAAGTGAGGTAGTGCCAACTCTTTGGCAGTGTCTACTGAACATACACAGACCAAGTGACCCAGCAGTTCCATTCTCAGGAATACACCCAACAGGAATGTGTGTTTTTATTACCAAGAGACACGTACACGAAGATAAATAGCAGCATGTTTCAGAATGCCCCAAACTGGAAACAAGTCAAATGGTCATCAACAATAGAAAGATGTTCTAGTCTGGGTTCCTCAGAAAGCAGAACCTGAAGCTAAAGCTCATGGTTATCATGTTCCTAGGGAGCATAATCCCAGGGAAGTGGGAGTGACGCAAGGAAAAAGGGAGAGGGGAGGCTATGCTACTGGGTTGACACCTTTTGTTATCAGTGCACCTGATCACTTGAGTCCGTGGAACCAAGACCTCTAACTGAGCAGACCCTAAGTTTGCAGAGACAAAACCATGAATTCTGTAGGTGGGTCATGTACCCGTAGAATCTATACGTGGGGGACCCAGCACCAATGGACCAGCCATTGGTTTGGCACAGTCCTCAAGGACAGGGCTCCAACCCCACAGGGTATTGTCTTGAGCTGGTGCCTTTACTGAGCTTTTCATGTTCTAACAGGACAGCTGCACCCAAGTGAAAGAGTGCCCACCCATCTGTCAAGTAGGCCCAATTTCCTTTCTTCCTCCATCACTTGATCATAGGGAGCCCCCCTCAATGAGGCTATAGGCTTGAGTTAAAGAAAAAGCATTGGTGCAACAGAGATAGATGACACGCACCTATGCTTGTAATTTACTCATGCCTTCTGGACCTCCTGGGGTTGATTCTGAGTGTGCCATGTCATGTGGTACATTGGATTGCTGCCTTGACTATGAATCAGTGCATCTGCTGATCCTCGCGCACGATGCACTGCTCTTGGTATGGCTTGTTTAGGCACTCAGAGTCTACTAGGACCCAGTAGCATCCCAGGAGCTGTTTGTCAGAGTTGTTCTCCACCACAGGAGGCATGACCTTGCGCCAGAATCCTTCAGGTCTGGTCTGCGACTCTTCTGTTGGCGTGGCCACAGACTCCCCCTCACAGCATTCTCCTCTTTTACAGATACCTCTAGCCCAATCAGGTCTACAAACCCTGTGGCCTAAGTTGCAGGACAGCTTGTATTACAGCTTGGACTTGCAGCAAAACCCTCTTTACTCTGGGCCCCACTTAAAACTGGTGGCCTGCCAAGTCACTGGATAAATGGATGGGAACAGTGTTCTCGGGTGCAGTATATGCTGACGCCAAATTCCAAAGAAGCCCACTAAGTCCTGGACCTCTTTCGCAGTGGTACAAGGTCCAGCAGTTTGTCTTTAAGAGGGGAATGCCTCTGTGCCCCTGACCATTGGAGCTCTGAAATCTTTACCTGTGTGACAGTCCCCTGAATGTTTGTGCAGTTTATCTCCCACCCTCTGGCATTCATGTGGCTTATAGGGCATTTAGGATACCTGCTAGTTCCTGCTTACCAGGTCTCATCTAATGAAGACATCGATATAGAGAACCAGCACAGGGTTCTTTAGAATGTCAAGATGATCACCACAGACCATATTATAACAGAGCAGGAGAGGTAGCATAGCTCTCAGGCAAGACAGTGAGTGCTGTCCTTGCCACATAAAGACTTACTGCTTTGATCTTTCCTGTTGAGGGGAATCCAGAAGAATCCATTGACTAGATTAATAGGTGCTTATCAATGCCAGAGCCATAGTGACTTGTACCACGTTTAGCATGGCAGCCAGTCCCTGCTGATCCATTTTAGCCGGGACCTGCCCTTCCCCTGGTGTGTACACCATTTGCCGTTCTCCTCCATTCCTCTTCCTCGAGGACTGTGCTCCTTAATAACATAATTGCACATAAGCTTTTGCTTCCGACTCTGCTTTCTGGGGAACCCAGGCTGAGGTAGTCGGTGCCAGCAGTGACCCAGAAAGCAGACCTTTAGGAAGGGGCTTTGAAGTTGCATGACTCACTGTTCCCTGCTTTCCTTCAACAATGGGGTCCCTATTGCCGTCCAACCAGAGAAAGAGGAGGAAAGGAAACAAAGTGAGGCCAGGACGGAGAGTGGGTGTGTTATTGAGCTGCCACTGCTGTTACCAAGCACAATGGATTGTTGGATCTTGTTGCTTTTATTTTATAGATGAAGAAGTGGTCTAAGAGAGGTTAACTAATTTGCCCAAGCTAGTAAATAAAAAAGCAGTTGTTTGAAGCCAGGCCTGTCTGACTCTAAAGCTCATTTCTCCCCTTCTGTACCTTGTGTCTTCTCTCTGGAGTAATGGTGACAGAGGGCAGAGGTCCTGTCACACATCCTGGAAAGTTACACCCTAGGATGGGCAGGACTTTGCCAGCTAAACAAAGAAAATGACATTCTAAGGAGACTAAGTAGCTTGTGCAAAGTTAGGGAGGCACAAGAGCTGTTGGTTCAGAGTGTGGGATTGGAACATGGGAATTGCAGAGGCTGAGGCCGAAAGGGCAGGCGCGAGTCAGAGCTTGAAAGGTGCCGGGTAAGTGTTGGGAAGCCAGTGAAGGAGTTTGGGAAGGGGAAAGTTGGGATAAGATTTAGATCGTGTAAATATTACTCTGTGTCCGCCCGAAGGATGAGGGAGGGAAGGAGTTGAGAAGGGGCAGGGAGAGGCCATGGGATCCGTAGGAAACGGCTGCAGTGTATCCTTGGGCAGTTACCCCAACTGTGAGCCCTAGTCCAGTCATGTCTAGCTGTAGCTTTCCTTCCACACCAAGGATTTAGGGAGGCTTCGGGGTTTTTTTTTAAGTTGTTTTGTCTTCGTTCTTCAGATGTCCTAGCATTTCCCTCCTTAGAACAAATATCTTCCTGCTTGGTTGCTCCAAATTAGAAACTGAAGTTTCTTCTCCTTGTCTTCTATTTTCAGACTCTCCGTTCTCAAGAATATAGTTTTTATTCTGTCAGACACAACCTTCTTTGTCAGAAAGTCCACATTTTCCCAGAGCCCCCTAGTCTCTGGTGGCCTCAGAGGGGTCAGGTTCTCCTCTCTGTCTGGGCCTTGTTCCTCCATCCTCTGCCCTTCTTACTCAGGTTTTGTTGACTGCCTACCTTATTGTATCTGCTGGTTTTCCTTTTTATGTTATTTTGATTCTCCTGTCTGAGAATTTCCGTCTTTTCTGAGAGCCAGGGCGTAAGAGGTGCTTGCGCATCTTGCCATCCTGAGAGGGAGCCGGCTTGTCACACAAAGGTCGGAGTAGAAAAATGGCACGTTCCTTCTCCATCACTGGGACACCTCCATGGCCTCCATACCTCCTACTGAGGGCTGGGGTTGAGACTGTCCTCTTCGTGTCCCTTCCTAACTAACAGCCGTGGTGAGCAGGCTCCCGCTGACACCTCCACCCTCTTCTCACACGACGCGGTGGTTCTCTCTGGTCTCTGCACAAACACAGTCACTTCATAGCACCAGCCAGTCCACCACCACTTGCAGCTTGCCTTCCACCCCTGTAAGCCCGTAAGGCTCTCAGTGAGCAGACAGAAAACCGTCCAGGAATTTTAAAGGATCACTTTTCAAAAATCCAGTCTCTGCTACAAAGGCAAGCCTTAGTTTTTCAGCTTTGCTGTTGACTTCTTAAAGGACAAAAACCTTAAACAAATTTTCAGACACATGGCTACAATAAAATAAGGTGACTGTAGAGAATTCATTATATTTAATACTGTAATGAGAAAAATAAAATGGAGGTAATTACAAACAAAATAAGAAGGCCTAAATAAAAATCTTCTAAAGTCCTTGACCATAGTTAATGTCCTAGGGAAAGGATGTGTGGAATTGGATAGAAAAAAATAGTTATTAAAAGGTTCTGCTGTCTCTCGGTTTTCTGTTAACATTAATACCATCTTTCTGAAGCAGTTGGATTATCCCTTTTTATTCTTCTTGTTCTGAATATAGTTATAAAAATGGTTTTAAATCTTGATATCATAATAAGCCAGTCATCTTTATTTATGTCTTTGAAATGCTTTAGTTGTTTCAGTGATAGAAGTCACGTAATCTTTTAAACCCAATAATGCTAGTTGTAGTATTTGATAAGTTATGCTGATGAAGTTGGTAATACTAGAGGTGGCTTTGACAGTGATTTTGGCAGACATTCTGTTTTGTTCCTTTTTTTTTCCTTGATAGTATACCATGTTGTCAGGGCAAGTTCCATTCCAATCTCATGACAAAAGTTTGACGTGTACCAGTGCAGTGGAAATCATGAAGAAAATTAAAAAGGGAGATTTCTCCTTTGAAGGAGAAGCCTGGAAGAATGTATCCCAAGAGGCTAAAGATTTGATCCAAGGTAAGAATCTAATGAAACTTTACATTTTATGTGATGTGTAGTGATTGAAGTGGCATCAGACCCATTACACATATATTTGTCTGTTAATTGCTCAAGGAAGCCGCGTGTGTTCTAAAAGGTTTCCAGGTGACTCTATTCAGCCTTCTTTTCCTCTCATCAGAACACTGTCCCTTAGTAATCTTCTCCACAGCCATGGCGCGAACTAGCACTTGGATCCACCAGCATCTCAATCCAACACCTCCAAAACGAGCCTGTACTTTTTTACTCTCCTTTCCCCCAAACATGTGCCTTCTCCGTCTCCTGTCTTCTGGACGATGGCACTGCCAAGAAGCCAGATCACCAAAACAGAAAGCCAGACATCATCCTAGATACCTGCACCTTCCTCACCTTCCACAGCCAGTCACAGTCCTGCAGGTTCAGCATCCCTCTGGCCATCGCCTCCTCCCCATTCACCTGGCCATTGCCTTAGTTCTTGTCATCATTTCCCTCCTGAAATCCTGCAACATCCTTCCGCACCCATCCTTCCTTTGTAGTGACTTCTAGAATGTCACTTCCTCTGACTTTACCTGTCAATCATCGATTGGCAAAGTGACCTTCCAGTAACCAAATGTGATCATGCCTCTTTTCTGTTAAAGATCTTTCTGAGAATCCCTCTTAGCTTCAGGTCAGACTCCAGAGTGGAGCACTCAAAATTCAAAGCCCTTCATGACCTGGCCCTGCCTGCCTCCACTTCCTGTCACCCTCACTCTGCCATCGTAGGACACTTGAATTCCTCAAATGTGCCAAGCTTTCGGACTCCTGCTTGCCTTTACAGTGCTCTTGTGAATCTCTGGGGCACCCTCTTCATCGAGCCCCCTTCTGCTCATCCTCCAGGACCCTTCTTCTGGTAGCCTTCCAGGGTGCCCACCCTCCCTAGGTGAGCCCTTCCCCTGGGCCCACTAACACATGTGCATGTGGATTTTCCTATTGCTCTTGTCCCCTGGTGTCATAATAGCTGGGTTTTTGTCTGTGTCTTTGTCTCCATCTCTGTATCTCAAGTCCCTTGCTACACTCCCTGACTTGAAGAAGGTATTTGTACCTGAATGAAGTATATCTGGGTGCTCTGTGTTCGTCTGGAGTTTACCCAGTCACTGTCGGAGTCTTTGTTTTGGGTGGTTATTGCCTTCTGATTGAACAGGCAGTTAGCCTACAGCCTCCTAGAAATAGGCTGTTGTCGGCTTTACTGTTAGCATCCAGTTTTCACTAGGGGATTTAAATGTATATGAAAATGTAATCATCTTTGTAGGAGGTTGAACCATTGTATCATGTGAACATAATTGAGATTTATGTCTGAGGGTGATTTTAAACGATGTTTGAAATGACAAATCATAAAATAAAAATATCTTATTTATTCCCACAGGACTTCTCACAGTCGATCCAAATAAGAGGCTTAAAATGTCTGGCTTGAGATACAACGAATGGCTTCAAGATGGCAGTCAGCTGTCCTCAAATCCTCTGATGACTCCAGACATTCTAGGATCTTCAGGAGCTGCTGTGCATACCTGTGTGAAAGCCACCTTCCATGTAAGGCCCTGTGCCCTGCGCACGTGAGGCAGTTTGAAAAGGAATCAGGTGTTCTTACTATAACTTCAGAGGCACACTCTTAGTAATACATTTAAAATAATGTGTTCTTTAAATTTTAGGTATGTTTTTATAAATCCCTTCATGATATAAACACATTTATAAACAGAAAGTGCATGGGGGACCAGAGTCATTGCTAACCCACAAAATACTTACTTCATGTTTGGAATTAGTTTGTGAGATGAGGCAGTAGTCTGATATTTGAATAGTTGAAAATTTTCAGTAGGTAATAAAACAATATGCATAATATTAGAACTTTTTTCTCTCAAGCTAAATCGTTTTCTTTAAAACCTATAAATAAACCTGAGGAACTAAGGCACATGTGAAAGTTCATTCATTCAACAACTATTTAGTGCATAACATGTCCTGGAGACTGTGAGGGATAAGAAGTAAGTTAATTGGTATTCAGTATAGATGGTACATTTGAAAGGCCGAGACTACAGAGCAGTAACTGGAGATTCTGCATATTGGTGCCAAGAAGATGCAAATACATAAGATAATCATATAAGGAATAGATGAGTTCAGGAGAAATAAAATTACCTCTGAGGGGATTATCTTGAGAAAGAAGGGATAGCATTTCCTCTTCAGCTGCAGAAATGGATTAAAAAGTTAATGAACTAGGGAATGTTGAGGTGTGAAGAGATTAACTGCAAGAATTTCTAGCAGATGATCCAGATCTTCTCAGTGACACATGATGCAAGGTTGTCAGGGGTAACCGCAGCAATGCCTAAGCTTGAGGCGAAGAAAAGCAGAGACAGGCTGCTGTGAGGAGGAAGCCGGGCTGAGGTTTATAGAGCTAAGCTTCCCTGTCCAAGATACTCCCAAGTTACGTTGACTTGGAGTCGGAGAGCAGGGGCCTGTAATGGATCAAGTCTGCTCTGTGTTGGGACTTTGTGGTCAGAATTTTAAATCTCAGACACAGAACTAGTAAAAGTAATGGGGTGGGAGGGTTGGTTTAGATTGCTAATATTCTTTAGGAATTTCCAGTCAATGTTTTTTGTTTTTTTTGAAAGATTTATTAGAATTGTGGCTCTTGGACAGCCTAGCTGGTTTGAATTAAACAGAGCCCTCAGAAATCTTTTCTCATGAACTTCTGTGCCCTGCCAAGAGGTTTGGATACAATGGTTTTAAGGACTTTGTTCCCAAAATGACTTGGAGCCATGGTTGCCAACCGAAGGTTGTCTTCTGCTCTAAGTCATAACTGCCAAGAAATCTTCAGTCCTTTTACCTTCACGGGGCTTCCCTTTCTTTCTCCTCTAGGCCTTTAACAAATACAAGAGAGAGGGGTTTTGCCTTCAGAACGTGGATAAGGCCCCTTTGGCGAAGAGAAGGAAAATGAAAAAGACTAGCACCAGCACGGAGACGCGCAGCAGCTCCAGTGAAAGTTCTCATTCCTCCTCCTCTCATTCTCACGGTAAAACCACACCTACAAAGACTCTGCAGCCCAGCAACCCTGCCGACAGCAATAACCCAGAGACCCTCTTCCAGTTCTCGGACTGAGTAGCGCAGGAATGGTAGGAATGTAACCGATGATCCATTGCTCCTTTCCTTCCCTCAGCAGATGCCTGAGGCGATGTTTTCTGCTTTTAAAAGTGTGTCCCATTGGTCTCATTGGAATCTTCCTCTTAGGGAATTTTTTCAGGAAAACCCAATTGGTTATCCTTGTCCGAAAGCACTGGACAGAGAACGTTACTGTGAATAGAGCACACGTTATACTGTTTAGTGACCTAGCCTGATGCCGACAGGACTATTCTTGAAGGAGCAAAGGTGTCTGTCAATTTAATTAAGGACTGATTAGATTTGAGCTGCTTACGAAATAAGTCACAAGTTTCTCAGATGTCTGCCAGCAAGAGAGTTACTCAGACTGATGATGCCACCTTTTGCTTCACCTTGTGGACAATGTGGGTTTTTAACAGATTTGCACCCTTTGAACAGTGATTTATCAGAGAAAAAGGTCTGTTTTCAAAAAGATTCTGTAATGAATTTTATGTGTGGCATATACTTATTTCTTGAGAGAGGATTTTAACTTATTGTTTTTATTTTATGGTTACATCTGATGATACCCGGCTATTGTTAATCTTTTTCTAAAAAGTAAAAAAAAAAAAAGGATATAAGAACTTCAGGTCCCATGCTCTATATTTGGGACCCATCTGAGATGCATGCTAAGCTACATATGTTTTTAATTTTGCACTGCTCTTTCCTGGCAATTTGTTTTAATGGTCATTGCAAAATATTAAGGTACATGTCTCTAAGTAATATTGCACTTTATAAAAGAATATGAATAAAGCAACTTATTTTATAAAGTGCACTGTTTAAAGCATATGTACTGTATTTTTGCCATTTTTTCCATTATCTACTTTAATTTATCCTCACATCCACCTTCTACTCTGTATGCAACAAGTAGAATGGGACATGTTGTAGCACGTAGTCATTAGCCACTTAGGCACGGATGTGAGGAAAACCTAAAGGGAATTTCTCTTAAACACTGTGCTTCATATTTGTACACTGTGTTGTACTACAGTGAGGCATTTCCTCCTGTAGTTGGATATTATGTACATAATATTTTAGAATCATAACTATGACTTGTTTTGAAATTTTTCTGTTAAATTTTAAATCCAGAAAGCATATTTTATAAACTTATGCAGAGCATTTTTATTGCTCAAAAGTTCTGAAAATAAGTGCAATGTGATGAAGACATTTCACTAAAGATTGCTGCATTTTGAAATACGATTAATTCATTCCCTATGCAAACAAAGAAGTGATAGGATTTGTATGCTGTATTTTCTTTTAAAGCCATCATGTGAAGTGTCAGGGCTGAGAAAAGTAATCTTTGCTGTGTTTACAGGAATCATGCTTAAAAAGGTAATGCCCAACCTGTTTATTTTCTAGTTTTTGTTAATGATAACCTCGTGAGCATTAGTTTGGAATTTGGGCATGATATTTATTTATTCCTTTCTTGAGATAATAGCAGCATTAATTTCAACAAGTTATGAATACTAAAAATATTGCACTGTATGTAATAGTATATTTATTACTAAATCAATGTGTATATTAATAGCACAGGCAACAAAAATGGCAAATATTAAAATATTTTCAAAATATTGTATTATTCTGTTTACATTTTTGTCCACAATGGTTATTAGAAATACTTAACAAAGTAGGTCAGATGGCTACATCATTCTCATTGAGTCAATGCAAGTTTTGTACTTCCAGCCTTCAATCATTCCTAGTAATGATGGGAAATCTTCATGAATTACTACCAAACTGTAGCTAATTCACAAAATGTGATTCCGTCAGGCACAGAGTTATAATAATCAAGAAAATGTCCATTTAGATCTATGGTTATGTTGAATATATTTGGAAATGTGTAAGTTAGCTCTTCATGTCATTTCTAAAACTGTGCACCCCAGTAGAAAATACTAGTTGTAAAGTATAAACTAAAGGGACTTGTTGCTGATGGAAAATGATCCAGAAAAACGGTCAATATACCCTAATGGTTGATGATGGAATTGACTCACTGTGAATATTAGAAATTGGTGGGTTTCATTTTCTCTTATTTTCCTTACATCTTCTTCTGAAGGACTTGACAGAAAATGAAGTGGGTAAAAAGACAGGCAGAGAAAGAGGAGGAAGGAAAGAGAAGGCTGATCCATCAACTGATGAACCTCCCTGAATAATCTAGAATGAGCTTTTGAGAAGAGCTCAGAAAAGAGAGTGGTGCCCTCTCTTCACATGTCTTCATCCTCACCCTACTTGTAAATACCAGAAAAGGCAGCCTTTGATGCTAAGTCTGCAGCAGTTAAATTGTGTGCAGGCTGTTGGTGTAAAGTGAATTGCACTTTAAAATTCACAAAGCTTTCATTTAGTCACATCAAAATAAACTGAAAAATACTTCATATGAAAATGTTAAGTGAAAGGACTCTTTTTTGGTATTAGGAGTAAAAGAGAAGTAGATCTAAGAAAAACAAATATATACATTAAATTCTCTTTATAACATTGATTTGGGGAATTGAGCCAAATCACCCCTTTTCTTCTTCCCTTATTGATTTTATTGTATGTTGTTTTTATCCTATCATCAATCCTAACTCGTATAATATACTTTATATATGGCTAAGCGAGAGGCAAGAATAAGAAAAGGAAGGTAGTAGAGGAAAGGAATTTTAAAAGACCAGTTTCTTCTAATTACTATGTCAGATCCTGTGGCTGAATGAGTTCAATTTGCTATTTTGAAATTCATTAATTCTTCCAAACCTCTATAAAATAATAAACCACTGAACCACTGGAACAGAAAATCAGGTCTCCTGAGTTAGTTTCAACATGCTTGTCTGTCTTGGAGTTGCAGATTTATTTACCCATGAAAAACTACATGTTAATTTTTTTAATATCACTGCTGATTTCTTAAATAACTGTGTAAAAGGCTACCTTTTAAATATAAGGTAAGTTATTTTAAAGAAGCCTACTAGGATAGCAGAGACTGGTTTTTTTTGATAAGGGAATTCATTTTGTATTTCACTTTATTTTTTGAGTATGTTCTCCAATTCTGTATCAAGGTAAACAATTTAGTGTCTACTTGTTCACCTTGCCACCATTTCAAACACCCATTATTGTCATATTTATTAATAACAGGGTATCTCAAAATGGTGAAAATTTCTAAATCATTGGCCCTATATGTGCCTTAGCCCACCTGATTACTTTGGATATTCTCCCAATGATCATACTAAGAACATGATTTGGATGTTTGTGTTACCATGCTTCTAATATTCTTTAAGATCTCAGTAAATAAGTTAAATTCTGATATGCCACTTAACACTGTCAAAATAATCATCTTATAGATGAATTATTGTAGCATAATGAAATATCTTAAAATTATATGACTTTTGGCCCCTCACATGTCTTACACCAAAACACCCCAATTTCTGGCCTTTAATTAATTTATACCCCCCCCTTCCTTTGATACTTTTTTCTAGCACTAACATGAATGTAGCAGCCTCTAATGAAATTTGGAATTCAAATGTGAGTTATCGTAAAACTCAAAGAATGGAAAAGTAATCATAAGATAACAGAGGAAATATGCATCAAATGACTGTTTTAAGTATAATCTACCCAAAGAAAATAGCTGCTACAGCCACATAAAGGTTTTATCCACAGTCTTGTTAAGTAACTCCAAATTGTGACATTCCTTAGAACATTTTCCTTAAGAGTGGTTATTTGAATTTTGTTTATATGGGGGAAAAAGTGTATTTTCAAGGGGCAACAGTTTTCATGTTAAGAACATTCGGTTAGTCTCGTTTCAGTCCTCATCTTCAGCATTTCTCACTTTTGAGCTTTCTAGATAGTTCTTCTGAGCCCTTTTCTTTGTATGCCCGGCTCCCTGTTACGTGATTAAGTATCTGATGCTTCACTCCCCCAAGGCTGTTGTCCACCTTTTAGTTCATGAGTTTGTGAAGGAAGCAAGTGCCAGTATTTTATATTTCCCTGCTATTAGACTAAAAAGGAGTCATTAACCAAAGTGGCTCCCAAATATGTCTGTCTTGGCTTCAGCATACTAGTGCAAAATATTCCTGTTTATTTCAACCGTTTCCTTTCCATTATTACTTCTGACCACATGGTGAAAAGCTTGATATTTTGTATTTAGAAGGAGACTTGGATTAAAAGACACAATTCTTGGTAGTTATTCGTCAGGCTTAATCTTCCTGGTGTATTTCTGCTGGCACGGGTGGAAGGAAATTTGGTAATATTTTTCTACTTAGAATGCTGTTGAGGTTATCGTAAGGAGTCGAATACTTCAGATAGGTCGAGGTAGTATTTGATACAGCAGTTTTTCTCCAGAACACAGGAGACTGGGATAATACTCGGCATTGTGTTGCTCCCGTGATTCTTTCCCATTGCACAACATTTTTCATTTGCATGATTTTATAAAATTTGTCTCTTTACTAAAACAAATTTCAGTTTCCTTCTTGTTCCTTCCCATATTGAGCCGTTTTTATCTTGTCATGTATGCTTTGAAGTCCTCCTATATTAAAAAAGAAGAAGAAAACAAAGAACAAAAAAATGTCATGACTTAGAAAAGCAAATTTAAATCGTATGAACAGAATACTATAGATTTATTTTCTGGCATTTCTGCTTGTAGGTAGATTGGAAAGTTGTTACTGTTGTTTTCTTTGCTTTAAAATCTAGTAAGATTGAGGAATGTGACATTCTTAACTGCAGTTTTATTTTTAACTTTGTAAGAGGCTGGTCATGTTAAATGTGCACTGTGTTGTGGGATGGATGTTTGATAATTATCCTCATTAAAGACCTGTTGCTGTGGTAGACATTTGACTCTTCATAACAGTTTATTTTAGGTACCATAATGCTATCCTTTTTACTCGAATTATAAATACTGGTAAAAGGAGAGATTAAATGTACAATAATTCTCATCCTTTTGATGAATAAGAAAGAACATATAAAGGTGCTACATCATATATAAAATTAATGCGTTAGTACTAAAATTTTTAAAAATATCCCTAAAAACTTTACTGGCATGATTCTTTAAAAAGGAGAAGAAGAAACCACGTATACACATACTTAGAGGAATTTTCAGAAGACCGACATTTTAATATATAGGTGGTATACTTCTATCTAAAATGGTATGTATGTATCCTTAGGTGTGGAATTGAAAAATGGTTGAAAATAATCTAAGCCGCAATAATCTATGTAACTATATGTAAATTCTTCCACAGCTTGACATAAAGAATTTATATAAGAATTTGTCTTACTAGAAGATAAACGGAAGATTTAAAAGATGAAAAATGTTGTTTTTCTTCTGTTCTATGTGGACAGTTAAGAATCTGAGTACAGTCAAGCCATGACTCAGATGAATGGCCCTCCTGTCTGCCGCCAATCTGTGCCGTCTTCATTGCCTGCAGCAGCAGTACTTTTTCTCCCATTGTTTTTCTGTGTTCCGGTTGTATGACCACACGCATTAATATATCCCTACACTGATATTTCCCTTGCTACTTCTTAATGTGTCCATGTACTGATTAACATGTACAGCTTGTAATTAAGATCAGAGAAGTGAAGACTTGATTGGGGCAGAGAAGGGAAAAGTTTG